ATATATATATATATATATATATATATATTGCAGTAACAGGACGCGAAACACAGAATCTCAAATTCCCAGTCCAACACGCTAACCACTGGGCCACGCCCAGACTTAAAAAAAAAGAAACAGAGAGAGCTCCAGGACAACTAGAAAGAAAGAACATGAAAAAATAAAGGTAGGAAGATCAATTGAGAGGGAAGGAGATATAAATAAGTAAGAGAAAGTGCACAAAGCTACACAATGGGCTATCTGTGCTCTGCCCACCACGGGTATCGAAACCCGGATTCTAGCGTTGTAAGTCCGCAGACATACCGCTGTGCCACTGGGGGGCTAATGTTTTAATAACTGAACTCCCGAAGCTAAATTGAACGCATTTCAGTTGACCACTTAATTACAAACAATTAAAACATTACTGTAACATCTTATACATTCTTCATCGCTGTTTAAACGATCAGGTTCAATCACGAATATAACTTTACTTATGGTTTCAGAATCATCATGTTTTCGTTACATGATTTGTACAGCAACAATAGAAATTCATCTAGAACTTCGAGATCGCCATGTGTTTTCATGTGGTTTGTATAACAATATTTAAATTTCAGCTTCGGTTTCGTGTGTTTGTTTGTTTTTTATCACATTGTGTTGCAGTTTGGAGAGAATCATTTGTTTCTTCATTTGGAACATATATAGGGACGAATTAACATTAAAGGAACAGCCCGGGCAATATCACATGCTGCATGCTGGTTAAACAATTAAAATCTGAAATACATTTCCAAGCATGCGTCAAATGTACCGGCCCACTATAATTTATTTAAACCTGCTGAAACTTTATTCAAATATTTAAGACACGAGATCAATGTATAAAACAGGTACGAATATCTCAATACTATTGATAGAAAGCCTTTGTAAATTGTAAAAGTTTTCAAATGTACATAAGCGTTTTCGTTTTCAGTCAGAAAACATTAGCTTTAAAACATCTGAAAATAAAAATATATGAATATTTTTTTCAATGCCACACACACACACATATATATATAAATTAGACTTTTATAGAAAAATTACCTTTTAAAAATATGGTAGTAATAGCTGTTTTCGTGTATTGTTTCATTTCAAAATGTTCCTGTAATTGTCATTAACCGACAGGCTTGTTTCTGGCTTGAAAAAGAGCGTTTAGCTCGAATCATCGTCAAATAAATAAATCATTACCATAGTTTTTAAAGGTGATTTTTCTTTAAAAGTCTATGTTTAGAGACTTTAAAAGACTAAAGGTTTTTAACTTCTCTATGTTATCCCCCTTCGCATTTTTCTACTTATATATATATATATATTACTAGATAGACGTAATACAAGCTAAGAACATATAACATTTTTTCATAATAGTTTCTTAATGTGTCGTAAGGTGGAAATACAAATATTATTTGCATATAATACCAGTTTATTATCTCTTTTTTTGTTGTGAAAAAAAATCGTTAGAACATTTTCAATGAGGATACTATGGTTAATTAACAATCCATTAACGTTAAAGATTTTGTTAATAATTCACCATACATATTAATTGAAAAAAAACTGTTGTGATGTTCCCACTTAGATTTTTCTAAGCACTAATTTTTTCTTTAGTTATCAGATGTTTAACCTATATATATATTCCTATTTTAAATATTTATAACCATGGTGATACTTCCGACTAAGGTTATTACAGATGCTCATTAAATGTTTATACAACGTGGACCTCTTCAGCTACCGTTCTTACTGAAATAAATATCTAATCTATTGTTATGCAATGTAATGCTTCATGACCTTTGAATTTTGGTAATTATTTTATAAATACGTACTGTGGGAGCAAAACCATTTTATTGCTTTTCCTCTCGCAAATATAAAAATACGAAGAAATAACATTATCGACATTACTATACTGTTTACATATTGCAGGGCATAATAACAGCTGTCGCTTGCCGCTAAAAATAATAATATTGTACTGGATGCTCCGTTATGTCGGATGTAGATATGGGGGGTCTCATTATATTTCTACCTAGGATACAATTTTTTAAACGGGGAATATAAATTAACTGCGGGCTGATTCATTGAATTTCATTAATATTAAATATATGTGAGTTATATTTTTAGAAAGTAATGTATTTTCGAGAACTTTTGAATAATAAAGAAATGGTTTATTTTTCATACAACCTGAATCAGCATCAAAAGTTATTAACAGACTGCAAAATTAATTATTTTAACTTTTAACAAAATCATTGATACGAATGGCACCTAAAACGGAAAATTCTAAAACAAACCCTTACGCTACACGTCTGGTTACACGGAAACTCTGAAACAAGAAACACATTAAGATACGAAATTTGCTCAAGCGTTCATTACTTTGTAACATTGGAACGCTAAATTGATGAAACAGAAGTTCGATTAAGTTATTCGTTTTTTTTTTAACATGTGGATGCAAAATTTTAAAGTCGACATGTTCGTTGCCTTTAATTTTCTGAGAATACTATAGAGTTTTAAATGCTAAAATCATAAACGTAGAAAATAACCTCCGTAATGACTCATCAAAAAAATGCTTTTGAATTATGCAAGCGAGTACAACACATAGATATACCTTGAATTAAACTTCAAGCTATGAAGTAATTGATAGCAAATTCAACATGCTTACTTTTCAAGAAACCAGAGGGCACCACACTGGATATAGTATTTTAATTTTTCGTACCTCTAGCTTGGTATTCGTCAATATGTATAGCTTTGAAAGCTAAGAAAGTTTGTTTTTGAAAGTACCAGTTCACAGTCATTATAAAAACAACACGAAACACGTGCTTCTAAAAATATTTGCTGAGTTAAATGCTTATGAAACAATTTTCATAGTAAAAACAAAATACAATTAATATATTACCTAATAATTATTGAAACTTGAAGACAACATAACAATTGAGTAAATTCTTTCTGAAGCTATTTAACTAATAAAACTTCTTTTAGAAAATAAGAAAATTAAAGACGTTTTATGAGAGCAATATTTCTTGAATCTCATTAAAAACTATCACGATAACAAGAGAAGTATTAAAATATTGATATAGCGTACTATAATAATAATTTAAGAACATAACGCTTCTCAACATACCATTGATAATGAATGTTTAAAGAATACAAATTTCTTAATAAGTTATCACGATTGAAACATGGTGGACGACTTACGAATCCTAATATATTTTCTAACGTATTTGTGTTTGAACAAGGCTATTTACTCTGTCACTTGCAGGTATAAATCTTAGGATGTTTTGGTACTAAACCTGTACATTAGTTATTTGTTATTTCTTTATCTATCAAACTTTAAAAAAAAGTCATGTTGAAAGTAACAGTTAAACTTTTCCACTTTTCATTCTAGCTTGGTGCATGATGATCATTTTAAATCATTTTCATTGAAGAAACCGTAATTCTGATTTAGAATTATTCCTAAGTTTCAACTTTATCATAAGGAATTGTTTTTTATAATTATATGTGATTCTTTTTTGTCTTGAACGTCACCTAATACTCATTTTAGTGTTCGGCCTTTTGTTTTTATCTGTGAATAAAAAACAAAAAACAGAATGTCCAATAACTCGCTGCGTCAGCTTCTGGAACCGACCTCGAAAGCACTATAGAAAGGAATGCAATACAGATTTATAAAAAAAGTTGTGTCATCAATATATCAAAATGCACTACTATTTGCATACTTTGGCTTACAGTCTTCATTTAAATCCAATCAGAAGAGAAAATGATTAATTTAAAACACAAATTAAAATAAAACAACGTGTTTAAAATTCCGTCGTCAAACTTGCATTCAAAAAAAAATGAGCGCAAGAATCAAAACAAAAGTAAATATATCATTTTAAAAACTATGACTTAAGGCTACGATAACAAACAAAATAAATGTTCATGTATTGTCGTTTTGACATAAGTGTAACAATCTGGTTAAACATACGTATATAGTAAAGTTGGTAATAACACGGTAATTTATGTCATACTTTATCAGTAAATGCTGTAAAATACAACGATTATTTTTGTTATACAAATATTCTTTATAGTTCCTTGTGAAATTCAATTGCTTTTTAGATCGTAGAACCTTTAAGACTAGCACAGCGTGTCATAAATTAGAATTTTTCAGAAGAAAAGAAAGCTGAGATTCAAGACGCGTAAGTGTAGTTTATCCAGGTAAAAATATTTGCCCATTAAGTTCAATCTTGGATTTAAGTTCCACTCGATCCCAATTATCACTTCTTATAAATTGATTACACTATAGTTTTACGTTCATCAAATACCCCATTGATCTTGTACTTGTAAAAACCTAAATCCTGTATATGTTAAACACCAAAACGTACATTGAACCCTTAAAATTGGTTTTAAAAAATACATTATTGATATTCATGTATTAAAATATTTTCAGCCCTCACGAGCTTCTTTTATTTTAAGACGAAAACCAGTTAAAATTATTTTTAAATGCCAAACTCTAAAACTAAGTAAATTAATAACCAAAGTGTTTTTTCAAAAGAAAAAGAAAAGATAAAAAGGGAGTGTCACATTTTGCCCCTATGATATTCCATCATAGATAGTTTGGTCACATATATAATAAAACGCGTACAAATATATATACAGCACAAAGGAAGTATGGCGATTTTTTAAAGTAGCCATATCAAGGTTCACTGCGTATAAATATTTCATTATTGAATTAGCTATCTTAATTGTTAAGTCCCGAATAGAATGGTAAACGCAATTCTGCTTCCTCATCATAACTTTCAAACTTGGCTTTAAGTATTTTGCAAACCACCAACCAATCAGCTTCACCCATCACCAAGGCCACTAAGAACGCTTGTTGTATTAGCTAGTACAAACCTGATGATCGTGAACAGAAGACATGTGATAAGAGTTGTGAACTTGCATGGTTGTGTAAATTATGGCGTATTGTACGAAGACTCACAACATAGTGTGGGCTTGTCTTGGAATTAGCTTTTTAAGAACGCCAGGTAATAATTATGCAGGAAAGTATGAAATATTGGGTAACCTTTGGTGAACTAGTTTCCGAGATTATGGAAAATTCTGAATATTTCGAATGAAAACAAAATATTGTTCTTATACCCTTACTAGTTTGATTGATAACTTTGGGGCCAGCCGTAGTCTTGTGCTGTGTTAACACTAATTCATATGATACAGGTATGTAACTGTATTATTATTAGGTACTTCAACTTAATTTGTCCAGAACGTTTTACCATTTTAGTTAATGAGAATCTAGAGGCCTAGTATCTCCAGAATGAACTAGGCTACACAGAACGTGCGTGTTATTTTTGGTACAACCTATAAGCAACACCACCCTAATATTTCAACAGTCGTTGAGGGGAATCGCCGTCTCCCAGCTGGGCCTTCTAGTCGAAGCTTAACATTTGTGTTCACGTTAGCAGGAGGCCTTGCTTTCGTTGTTGCTTGTGTACCGCAATGGCAGCCGAGGTTGTCAGACGCGATGAAAAGTGGCCAGGGACCGTGTTTATAATTATCTGCGTTTTATGCGTTAGCTTGTCTACTGGAGAGTTTAGCCTGTTCCTGAAGCCGGACGAAGTTCACAAACTCTTTGGTGAGTGGGGATTTCCTAATAATTATTATGTTAGACCAGTATAAAAGGTCTTGAACTTGTATTCGGTTAACGTTACGGTTTAATACTACCAGTTTGTGGTAGCTTCGTCATACTTGGGTTTGAACTGGTGTAGTCGGTATGCTCAATCATTTAACTTTTATAAGATGTATATAAATTATCTAAATCTTGTAAATTTGCTATGTTTATTATGATAAGGATTGTATTGCCACTTTAGTTTACGTAATGAGCATAAATTAAAAAAGAAGTGGTAATACTAATGATATAATGTATTGACAACTATTCGTAGATGGCCTCGTCACATGTATATTACTAATGTTCTGTGTGAACCAAATCAGTTGGTATACTCAGTCATTTATTTTAAATATTTTTACGCTAATATTATAATTTTGAAATTTTCCGTATCAGTTTCAGTAAGATTGAGCATAATAGCAATTACTGAATTAGAAATAATCATAAATATTAATAGTGTCGTCTAGTAGAATTTTTTAAAAGTGTTAACAATTTTACACCTTTCTGTCGTATGGAAATAACTAAGAATATATAGTTCTGAGTATTGATTAAATAAATTGTTAATATTGATATTATTGTGGGTGTATTGGTACACTGCCTTAGACATGTAACACAGTATTGTGATTGTCCATTTATTAAAACATCAGAGTAACAGATATTAAGAGTCGATTGTTCGTGAAATATTAAACGTAGTTACTTATTACATTAACTTTATTAATAAAATATGTACAAAGATTTTGCAAAAATATTTATCCTTCAAGAAATATTCTTGAAATGTATTTTGAACTAACCTTTTTGTTCATATTTTGTTAAGTAAGATACGTAAAGTTTTAATCATTTTCATTAAGCGGACTCCCCCTCCCTTTTTAGCCCTATTCTAAATGTAACCTATATCTCGCAATCGACAATTGGGTCGACATGTGCCGTGTTTTGTTTAAGGACAAGTTTTTGTAACGTAGAAGTTTTCTGGTGTTATATTTATGCATTTTAAACCATTCTAAATTTTACTTACTTTCATGACCTACAAGTTGCTCATATAACAAACTAGAATTAATTTAGTGTTCACGAAAACCAAAAGTTAAATAATATTTATCTTAAAAACTCGTTTTGATTAAAATTTGTCTAGCATCTGATCTTTTTTTTTTTACACTTCATTAGGTGGGCATACTACTTTCTATGTACTGACACAAGGTACACCATAAACCAGTTGGTTTTAAAATGTTGTAAGCTGTATTTTCGTGTTTTAGCTTAGATTAATGGATGTTTACCAGAGGATACTAAAATCAAGTTATAAGTATAAAAGGAGCCATTGAATACATAGAACTTTCATGAATGTTAGCAATCGTGAGGTTTTGCGAAGTTTCGAGAAACAGAACTACATTATAAATACTAGAATCAATGAAAAATTTAGTCACTTTTTCAGTTGGTAGAGTGTTAGTCATTCAGTGAGGTATTTGGATCATTGGTAGTTATTCCGTATACTCAGTCACTCGATCGATTAGCCATGAAATTGTACAAGTAAATTTATTTTACGGTAGTCGTAGTACCATTGGTGAGTATATCTCTGGTGAAACTGAAAAAATTATTTGTAAACGTATCTTACATACGACTATTAGTTCAACTGTGTAAAAGTGTTAGTGGCCTGTAGGTTAAAGAAGAAATAAACTAATTTGTTGTTGTTCCGTGGACTGGATCTCACATTGTTATTATCAGATGATCCAAAAGGTCCAACCCAACGAAAGAACAATGTTAGCTTGTTGTTTCACCAGTTCTTGTTGGTGATAATAAAATTAATAATAAATATAAATAAGTAAAAGTGGTGTTAAAATAAATAATGTTGTTTTATTAAATTGTACCATAAAATCTGATTTGTAAATAATTTAATTCTAATTTACTTGCTTAATCTGGTTCACACCATAACGGTCGTTGTTCATGAAAATTGATGTCATATGTGTATAAATAACCAGTATATGTGTAGCTTTCTTATCCCAGCTGGCATGATGATCCCTGATATTGAAAATAATGGCTTCTTCCTACTGGATATAGCAGAAGCACTAGTGTCGACATATTATAACATATTCTCCTTGCTTTTGCTCGTATGTTTTTAGAATAGAAATACCGTTATTACTAATGTGGATTTTTCTGTGGTCAAGTTCTTTAAAAAATAAAATGGTAATTATATCAAGTGTATATATTGTACTATGTATTTATATCCATAAGCCAATTGTCTGATGATACGAAACTCCCTTGTGTCCATAAGCCTTAACTGTACAAAATTAAAACTGTTACTAGCATTCTTTAATTTAGGTCATTACAGATCACTTGCTAATGTTTTTTTTTTTCTTGCGTCGTGAACGTAAACATTTGTACCATGCAGAATTTTTATTTATTTCAAACAAATAATGACCAAGCTTTCTCAGTAGAGATACTTGTATGTTAATTACAAACTTGCATTAACTTTACTACACATGAACATGGCGCTAATCAAGCTTGTGCTTAAGTTGAAGTGTTTTGTTCATTGTCTTAAATGACAAGCAATTTTATATCAGTGTAATAATTGTTTGTTTGCACGATAGAGCGCATTTAATATCAAGAAGTACGTATACGGTGAAAGGTGGCCTGGCTATGTACAATCAATTTTATAGTTTTACTTGTATATCCAACTTCATAGTCTTTCGTTACAAATAGGAAAAGTTGAAGCTGATCAGTGACATATGGTACTTACTATTTTTTACATCATTTGTTAAGATTTTAACAGGAAATATGTTGGCTCCTATTACGTGAAATAGAAGTTACCACGCTTAAACAGCGGGCTAGTTCTAGCTACAGTTTCATATTAGAATACCATTACATGTTTAACCCGCAGTTTAAAACCTTACTCACAATGTGTTTGTTAAAAGGTTTTTAAAAACTGCTAGAATAGGCATCGTACATCTTTATCATGGAGCTCATAAAATGTAGGTTTTTGTTATGAGCGTCATTTCTGTCGTATCCCAGCTGGCCTGTTGAACCATGGTAATGGGCGTAAAACCTCGTCGACACTGGATATAGACCGTATAGTGTGTTTGATATATTATTACATGTTCTTTATTTACACTAATAAATTCGTAGAGTTCGTACAGTATGAATAGCCGAACAGTTTGTCTATGGTTTGTTTTAATAACAGCAAGGACTAATGTTTACTGTTAAAGAATATATTAGTCGAGTATTCGCTAATGAATTATTCTATTTCAGCAAATTCAACTGTCAAAATAAAACGTCTTGAACTTTTCCATTATCTAACAAACAAAAAAAATACATAATTTAAGCTATAGCGATTATATTGCAACACGCATTTTAATAATGCAACTATCATTGTTTCATGACGTCTTTGAATATATCTGTTTCTGGAATCTGAATCTCTGTCGTTGCTAATTAGATTCAGAGCAGTATGTTTCCACGAGTAATCCAGTAGTGATTGAATGCTCACTGAACGTCTAAAAAGTGGCTGAACTTTGATTGAAATTGCATCCGTGCGTGTAATATTAAGTCAATATTACTGCAGCGATATATTTTTTGCCCGCTAGTATTTGCATCTTTAGACGAACTTTTTATACTGTAAGACGTATTAATGTGTCTCGTTGAAATGTTATTGGACTATGATGAACTGAATATCGTCTGACTGTTTTCTGCTTTTTGTATCTGCAACTGTCTGTCTAGTTTTTCTCTGAGAACTTAAAAGGTATAACACGCATGTGAAAGTCGTGTCTCTTCTACTACTGTTGCGCCACCTAGTGCTCTGAACAGAAATAAGCATTTGACCACGACGGAACGTGTTCAAGTTGTGACGTAGATGGGTTTTTCTTTTAAAAGAGTCATAAAATCTTCGTGAATGTTAAACATTAAAATAACGTTAAGATTGCATTCAAAAGTCTAATTTGACATGTTAATAAAAGCAACAGTTTTTGTGCTAATATTTCACAGTGTGCTTTCACAAATTTGAACCTAAATATTCCTAGTAAGATGAAACTCGTGCACTAATTTCTTATTTTGCTTTTTAATTTTATTGTGATATTTGTGATGAGCTGCGTATCTGGGGTCACGTCATGTGCATCGCACGTGCGTTGTTACGTGTTTTTATAGCGTCTTAGTGGCGTCGACTGCTTCCAAAGATAATCAGATAATGACATCGAATTGAATGTTGTAATATTAATACAAAAAAAAAGTTTTGTTTAAAAAAATATATATAAAAGTTAGGTTAATAATGCATATGCGAAGTTTGTGATTCACGAGTGCTTTTGGAATATCAAAATTATTTGACTAAAAACAAACTATAGCTATTACTCGGATGTTATTATTCTAAAGTGTATTAAAATTTTGTCGTCTCCAGTTTATTGCATATTGTTAATGCAAGCAGGATAACTTTTTACAGTACTTGTATAACCTATTGCGTCATAGAAACTTAAATTGTTTTTGTATGAAAAATAATAGTAAAGCTCCAAAAATATGCCCTATTAGCAACTGACGTGATACCAAGGGAAACACGCAAGAGGTGACGATCAACTATTCCTGTTACTTTTTTATACATATTAACTATTACGTTACTTAGATATGTATACAAGTTGTGTTTGAGAATAGTCTTGCTTTGTACTACGTCCTTCTTACTAGTTTTGAACTCCTTTTGTTATATATATATTTTTAAAGAAATAAGCCTAATAATTTTGTTATTGATCCTTCCGATTCCAAAATACGAAGCGTGCTAAGAAATATACTTATTTCATGTATAAAGTGCAGGGTATCTCTTGACGAACTCAAAAAGAGTCTTTTTAACACGTCAGTATTGAGGAAGGGTTTTATAAAAGTAATTCTGCATCGTGTTCGTGGTGGTTATAAAGCCACTTTATTGCTCAAAACAACAACAAACCAGATATTAGACAGGTGCCGACACTAGAAAGTCTGCTCTAAACATTCTTATTTTGACACGTTAGTTT